TTATATTAATATTATAATTGTACCATACCTTCCCCAGTTACTATACACCTATGTTATGTTACAGGATATTCAACCTCTATTTAATTAAACTTAAATAAAATGCAATTTAATGTTGTATTGCATTGTAGTTGAACTCCAATTAAAACGCAACCCTGTAGAGGAACACGTTTTAATCAAATTCATATCACAACTACATTACAACTACATTTATCAATATTACCTATAAATTAAGTGAATAAATTAAATTAAATTCAATTCAATGATGGTACAATGTGAAGGTATGTATGTATGCTTGTATGTGTGGTGAGTCAACTGTGATATACGTGGGTCAGTTAGGGGATGGGGTGAATACAGTTTTTTTTTCAGTGTTCAGTACATATTTTGCGTTATTTTTTAAGTATTGATCTTTTCCTTTTTAAATTAACATATTTTTAATTAAGTGTTTTTAAGTATTGATAAGTTTTTAAATTTTTGATTTTTTTTTAGAATTGAATTTACAGAGTTTTAGTAGGTGAAGGCTTTGTTGGATGAGGGTGGGGTCAGGTCGGGGGTGGGGGAAGGGTGTATTGAGGACACTTTAATGTGGTTGAATGCCTTGGTGTGTGTAGGGTTTTAACGATGTGATTTGAATACTGTAAAATACTTTATTTTTGCTTGGAATTCATTTTCCCTGAAGGAATGATTCAGTGAAAATAAAATCCAGCGAATATACCTGTTTTTCCCTATATTTTACATTTCAACTCATCAAAAATCAGTGAAGATAAATTCCATAAAAAACACCCAAAAAGTCTTATCAGCGAAAATTAATTCCAGCTAAAATAAAGTATTTTACAGTACACATGTTCTGTATCTGAACATTTGATGTCATCCATTTATTGTATTTAAATACTTGTACATAGCGTAGGGGATGGGGGTAGTCCCGGGGATGGCAGGGGGAAAGGAGGAGGGGTCACTTAATGCATATAACATTAGGGGTTGTAATTTTCAGTTCTTGGGTTCAGAATGGGGAATAGATTTGCTTGCCTTTTGGTTCAATATTACTATTGTTATAATTACAATATTAACTTTACAGTATTCTCATAACCTCATACACTGTTACAGTGGATTCAGGAAGCATCCTACAAGTCGTATTATTTTTCTATAAAACAAAAACCAAAGTGCATACTAGACATATCATTCAATGAGTTTCACTTGCATGGTGGCAGTAAATGTGCTAAACATGTAGGTCTATTTTCACATCACATTTATTCTTTCTACATGGACAATACCCACATATTTATACTGCATGTATTAAAGGGGAGTTTCCGACAGAAAATGATTGGTGTACTCTCCTAATTGGCATGCCACCCACACACCAAACATCAAAGCAATGGTGCTGGTAGTTTTCAAGTTTATGAGTATCGACACAAAACTAAACATGTGACAGTGGTCCATCGATTGACCAAAGTGAAACATTTTTAAACTCTTATATATACACGCCATCTTACAGAGCTCACTTTATGGGGAATCTTTGGTTTCTCTCGCTGCATTTGTTTGAACAACCTCTCAGGTCTCATCTACAAATTACATTTTTCACACACTTCCCTAAACTTCTGGCCCGACTTCGTGGACTACAAGAAATCTACACTTCATATCACTACACATAAATTAGCCAAAGTAGTTTGAACAATTTTGGAATTGCATCAGAAACAACTAGAAAAGTAGACTTGAGGGCAGCAGTTGAATTGTGATTACGACGGTGTCACCCAAGAACTGAGTAAAATAGTGTTCATGAAAAAACGAGTAATCCCTTAGATTGAGGTGTAAAATGTGATGGAGACAGATTCTCAACCACGCCACCAATGGCAGAAATCAGTAAGGGTATGGAGAATGTAAAATTCACAAACATCACACACTTCAGAAATTACAAGATGAAGAATTTTTAATTGTAGATTACGAAAATGATCAGTGTTTAAATTGTACAAAGTTTGTATTGTGATAACGTCTACACTTGAACTCAAGAACCAGACTGTCTTCACTCCAGGGCCAACGCAGATCCATTTTGCTGCATATAATCTTTGTCGTACCAATAAACTTCTTCACAGATGCATTGCTAAGGACAGTATGTTCAATGTACATGATACAAGATTGGATGTCAACTTTCCCACAATTCCCTGCATCGAACAATGGGCAACACTATAATTTATTTATACATCTGACATCAAAAACAATATAACTCGTCTGTCTGTCTGTCTGTCTGTCTGTCCGCCCCGTACAGGACTTATTACTACATGCAGGAAATAAGTATAATTCGGGCAGTTTTATTGGTCCATACAATTACTGTACTGCCTTTGTACATACTTTGCTGTATTCTCTTAATAACCACATTAAGACAGAATGCCACTTGTGTGTTTTCAACATATGCAAATCATTATTATGGAAATACAGTCAATCCTGTGTATAGTGCCTCCCCCCCCCCCCCACGCACACACAGGACTGTAGTGAAATAGTCTTTCTAGACAGGATTATTTTTGTTTATGAATCACCCACTTATAATAATCAAAATAAAATAAGTTTGACTTGAAACAAATCAAAATTATTGTTGAAAGAATGGTCATTATAAAGAGGTTATCTTTATACACAGGATGCTCATGTTATGCCACGACATACTAAAATGTGGTCATTATAGACAATTGGTCTTTATATAGAGGTGGTCACCGACACAAGTTTGACTGTCCTGTTTCAGAAAAATTATATGCATAAAATTACTTATTTCACAATGGTGTCATAGCACAAACATTTCATTGTTAAACCCCATTAAAAATTATGTAAACTTTGAAATACTTTAGAAATGAACAAGTACATTCTAAGAAGTTGAGATATAGATGTATTCTTGTCATAGGAAACCATGGTAACATGTCCTGAAACCATTGTAATATAAAATGTCACATATCTAAAAATAAAGAAAATTACATAATTTTTAACAATGACAGGAGATGCTGAATTACTCGAATTTAGTAGCTCAAATTTTAATCAACTTTTAGTTACAAAAAATATACAACATAAAACAAAAAATCCATATTAACTATTAATAGAACATAGAGTAACAATTTGGGCGTGGACATTTTTGTAACTTAATGTTTTTGCAACATAATCTTTGTAACTCAAAACAATTCAGCATTTCATTGACAGACTCACA